TAATGCATTAGGCAAGATGACATGGTGTCGAGGGATAAACTCAAGCAATATGATATAAATCCCATCTTCTTATCCTGGATGGCAACAATACAATACGTGCCTTGTTGTCCCTGCTGTCACTGGGAAAGGACACCGCAAGATTGAACCCAAAACTAAGCACTTCTCCCATTGCAAGAAAGATCAATCTAGTAGGCCAAACTAAACCGATAATTCGAAGAGACTTGCAAAGATATCAAATCATGCATATAAGAATTCAGGGAAGAACCAAATAATATTCATAGATAATCAAATTCATAAACCCACAATTCATCGGATCTCGGCAAAAACACCGCAAAAGAGTATTACATCGAATGGATCTCCAAGAACATGGAGGAGAACTTTGTATTGAGAACCAAAGAGAGAGAAGAAGTCATCTAGCTAATAATTATGGACCCGAAAGTCTGTGGTAAACTACTCACACATCATCGGAGAGGCTATGGTGTTGATGTAGAAGCCCTCCATGATCGAATCCCCCTTCGGCAGATCGCCAGAAAAGGTCCCCAGATGGGATCTCACTGGTACAGAAGGTTGCGGCGGTGGAAAAGTGGTTTCATGGCTCCCCTGGATGTTTTCAGGGTATACGAGTATATATAGGCGAAAGAAGTAGGTTAGTGGAGCTCCATGGGGCCCACGAGGGTGGGGGTGCGCCTACCCCCTAGGCGCACCCCCTGCCTCGTGGAAGCTTCACAGACTTGTACTCCAAGTCTCCTGGGTTGCGTTTGTTCCAAGAAAGATACTCGCGAAGGTTTCGTTCCGTTTGGATTCCGTTTGATATTCCTTTTCTGCGAAACACTGAAATAGGCAAAAAAACAGCAATTTGCACTGGGCCTTCGGTTAATAGGTTAGTCCCAAAAATAATATAAAAGTGCATAATAAAGCCCATTAAACATCCAACACATATAATATAATAGCATGGAACAATCAAAAATTATAGATACGTTGGAGACGTATCACACCCCCAAAGACACACCAAGTCTTCTCTTAGCCATGTGTGGTGCCCCCCTCCACAGTTACACACCTCGGTCATATCGTCGTAGTGCTTAGGCGAAGCCCTGCACCGGTAACTTCATCATCACCGTCATCACGCCATCGTGCTGACGGAAGTCTTCCTCGGCCTCAACTGGATCAAGAGCTCGAGGGACGTCATCGAGCTGAACATGTGCTGAACGCGGAGGTGCCGTACGTTCGGTACTTGGATCGGTTGGATCGCGAAGATGTTCAACTACATCATCCGCGTTACTAAACGCTTCCGCTTTCGGTCTACGAGGGTACGTGGACACACTCTTCCCGCTCGTTGCTATGCTTATCCTAGATAGATCTTGCGTGATCGTAGGATTTTTTTTTGAAATACTACGTTCCCCAACAAATGTCACATGCTTGAGTGTTGTATTGCAACATCTTTAATTCTTCCGCGGCTGCTTCATGATCCAGTTCTTTAGCATCCACAAATAATTCACCTTGTAAGCCAACATGAACAATAGCCCAAATGGCGGGGTTATGACCAAGAATATGCATTTTCATCTTATGCTTCCAACTAGCAAAGTTTGTACCATCAAAATATGGACCTCTATGGTGATAGTTTCCCTCACTAGACGCAATACTCTCCTAGGTTGTGAAACCAATGCAATGGAGACCAAAGATCTGATACCACTTGTAGGATCGAAAGTATGTCTAGAGGGGGATGATTAGACTACTTGACCAAATAAAAACTTATCCTTTTCCTAGTTTTAGTTGTGGGCAAGTTTTAGCAATTCTATTGAGTCAAGTACACCCTACACACGCAAGTCTAAAAGTTATGCAGCTAAAAGTAAAGACTTTGCATATGAACATAAAGGAGGGATTGGAGATTTAGAACACAATTAAGGAAGACACAATGATTTTTGGCGTGGTTCCAATAGGCGGTGCTATTGTACGTCCACGTTGATGGATACTTCAACCCACAAAGGGTAACGGTTGCGCGAGTCCATGGAGGGCTCCACCCACGAAGGGTCCACGAAGAAGCAACCTTGTTTATTCCACCATGGCTTTCGTCCATGAAGAACTAGCCTCACTCGGGTAGATCTTCACGAAGTAGGCGATCGCCTTGCCCTTACAAACTCCTTGGTTCAACTCCATGTGATCTTGGAGGCTCCCAAGTGACAACCAATCTAGAAGACACCGCTCTCCAAAAGGTAATATATGGTGTTGTTGATGATGAACTCCTTGCTCTTGTGCTTCAAATGATAGTCTCCCAACACTCAAACACTCCCTCATAGGAGAGGGGATTGGATGGAAAGCAACTTGGGAAGGCTAGAAATCAAGGTTCAAATGATTGGATTGGAATATCTTGATCTCAACACATGAGTAGGTGGTTCTCTTCTCAGAAAATGAATGGTGGAAGTTCTGTTTCGTTCTGATGGCTCTCTTAGAGAGTAGGTGGTGGTGGAGGGTATAAATAGGCATCACCAAAAATCTAACCGTTACAAGTCTTTGACCCAACTCGGTGACACCGACATGAGAATCTCGGTGAGACCGACTAGTGCAAAAGACTTGACCGTTAGGCTTTTCGGTAGACAGATCATACCAACTCGGTGGGACCGAAGTGCAATGGCTCGGGCAAGACCTCGCTTTGGTAATTCTGATCGGTTCATCTCGGTGATTCCGAAATGAAACAACTTCATTACAAAAACTTGGTCAGGTCGTCTCGGTGGGACCGAGAACCATTTCGGTCAAACCGAATTGCTATGGTTTTGGCTGTGGCATAGAATGGGATCATCTCGGCGGGTCCAGATAGGATTGTTTCAGTGGGACCGAGATGGATTTTTAGGGTTTTGGATATGATGAAAGTGGCGAAGTATTTGAGGGTTTTGGAGCAATATCACTAAGCACTTGAGCAATTGAGTCATGAACAAAACTTCATCCCTTTTAATAGTATTGGCTTTTTCTATGGACTCAAGTGATCTTAGATCACTCAACCAAAAATGTAGAGTCTTGGGAAGCTTTGCCAATCTTTGTCCTTTGTATTTTGAGGGGTCCACATCCACTAATCCTTGTCATGCCAATCATTGATCTTTTGTGAAATCTATCATCAATGTTCATTAGATCAATGACATATGTGTTGTTATTAATTACCAAAACCACCCGTGGATTAAATGCACTTTCAACCTTACTTACCGTGAAATTGCTACAAAGTCGTGCACTTGTAGGACATCATGGGGCTTCCAAGTACAAGTTATGGTCAAATAGGTTGGTTCTGCTTCGTGGGCCGTTTGGTGGATGTCATACCTAGGGTACTTGAATCCTAGAACTCTTTGGTTTGAAGCCTCTATCAACTTGGATGTAGAATAGCGCCAATTGTCCGACGGGAAAATCCTCTTGCCATGGGTGTTTGCATTCTCTAACTCTACATCCTACTTACTTGTGAGATTGTTATTTTCCACTGCTTATCACTCTTGAATACTTTTCTGTTAAGTGCTTGTGCTTGTCTAATCCTTGTTTTCTCAAGCTAAAAACGGTCAACCTCAAAATTGTATAGTTGTGTTATTTTTATAGGACTATTCACCCCCTAGTTCTTAGAACTCGATCTAAACACTTCCTCGTCAAGAAGCCATGTGAGACTCTACTACAAGAGTGGGAGGAAGAATCGATGGAGAAGATCAACAACTCAGTGAGCTTCGAGCCAACATCAACAACGTCCTCAAAAGCTCTTCAAGCAAACTCAGCAAGTTCAAGCTGAGAGAGAGGGGGGAGGAGAGAGTTCAATGAATACTTTTGTTCAAGAATATTCTACACTCCATCGATCAGGGAATGCCTCCATCACGAAGGAATGGAAATGAGCTTCAATATCGACTTCAAGCATGAGTGCAAGCACGAAGGGCGGTGGACCATGAACCAAATGATGAGCAAGAGGAAGAGAGGTTAAGAGATTGATTGATGCCAAAGGGCACCGCCTACAAGAGGAATCTTACTCAAGACATTGACCTCCTTGGCATGACTATTGAAAGGCACCCCCATCAAGATGAAAAAGAGTACGGGAAGCTCAAGTTCACTATACCCAAGCTCTTTGACAACGTTGACCCGAAGACCATCTTCTTTGCAAAGCTCTAGTCATTATGTCCAAGTTTTGCGGCGTGTTTGTATCTTAGACCCGGTTGTACGTATTGGACTTAGATATCCAACTCTCTAGTAATTACAAATCCAACTTAACCGAACTCCTACATATATTGTACAATTCAAACATACTTACATATACCAAAAACAATACCTTTTTCACGGGTAAACCAAATATCATATTTAAATATGTAAATAGAAAGAATGGATAAAACTCGTCCATCTCAGTGTTCTGGTACTATTGGACCGCCCAAAAAAGAAAAGAAAGAAAATAAATGGCGGGTACAGATCCTCCCAAGCCCATCCATGGTAAAATATGTTTTCTTGACAGTCCACTAGACAAAATAGTACTCTCTGTGTTTTATAACATAGTGTGTTTTTTCAAAAGTCAAACATTACATACTTTGACTAAGTTTATAGATAAAAATATGCGCATTTAAAATATCAAGTGCATATCATTAGATACATCATCAGTTATGTTTTCATGTTGTATATGTTTGGAAGTGTATATATAAATAGTTTTTCCGTAAACTCACTCAAAGTTCGCTTAGTTTGTTTTTCCAGAAAATCTGTAGGCACTGATCGTGCAACGGATGGGTACGCTACTCCCTATCTAATGATAATAAAAAAAACACGCTACTCCTTTCACCATCTTATCGCGTCCATCTCTCACTGAGAGCAAACCTGAGAGGGAACTGGGCAAGCGATGCTCTGAACTTCTGATTCCTCAATACACCAAACCTTAACCACCGGGCTCACACTTCCAGCAGACGAGAGCCTCGAACCTTCCATCGCCATTCCCGATACGATACGAGAGCAAACATCTGCACGCGACGGCGACGGCGACGGCTTTGTCCTCTCGTACCCTCCCGATGCGGCTGCCGCGGCGAGGCGCCCGCCCGGGTCTCGCCCTTCTCGCGCTCGCCCTCGCGCTCGCCCTCGCGGCCCGCGGCGCGGACGCGTCCATCCACGAGTACTCCGGCGGCGGCTTTGCGCCGCGCGCCAACTCATTCTTCTTCCACGGCGGCAGCGAGGGCCTCTACGCTTCCGAATCCTCCTCAAACTCCTCCAACTCCTTCATCAGGTACGACAGGCGTCCCTTCTGGACTGGAGTACTCCCCTTAGGGTTTTGCGGGGGTCGGGCTGCCCCGGATCAGGCGCGCTTTGGTCGGGTGTCCGAGTTAGGATCTGATGCGCTTGTTAACTGTTGCGTGCGCCTTTTGTTCTGTTAAATTTCGCTGGTGTTGCTTTTTGGGCGATGATGTGTAAGGCTGCTTGATTTTGTCTGCAATGCTTTAAGTCTCCAGTGTCCCCTCCTGGGGTTCTATAGTTGTTTCTGTTCCAATTACGTAGGTGATCAGGTGAGGATTTGTGGAATTTTATGCGCATAGACTTTGATCTGTTGAGATGATTGGATGCAGCTGCTCCAAGTTGCCCGTTCTCTCGACAGAAGTTGCTTCTTTTTATTTGTAATTGTTGTGATCCCATAGACATTAGTGAATTCAATCACCGAGCTTAGTCCAGTTCTTGCTCTGTTTTGTCATATTCAGGAAATGTCACCATTGTTTTCCGATAGCTCGGTATGATAATCATTGCCATGGACTTAATGTATGTATTAATATTTCACATGCTAATGTGATTGTCGTGCCCTGACATGTGAAAGATAACGTGTGTGCTTTTCATAGACAACAAACACAACATGACAGTGCTCCATTGTTTCTGTATATA